GTAAGGTTAAGTTAAATCCATGAAAATAGCAAACACCAACTCATAAACAAAGAAAGTAGCAACATTTGTTCCCATTGCCAAGAAACAACCCAGAAATGCTGTGCAAAACATGTTCATGTACTATTCTTTCAGATCTCTGCAGTAGGTTTGGAATTTACATTTAAAAAACCAAGGGAAGGAATGCCAAAAATGAAAGGTTCGAAAACATTTGCCGCCAAACAGAACCATATATGTCTCCAGAAGTAAGTCCTATTTAGCTCCAAAGAGCACACTCCCAGGTAAGCTAGTGTAGGATTCCACCAAAGTGAACATCCTCAAGAACTGTATGGGATTCCCTGGCTTTTCACATTTTCCTTCCTTGGTCAAGAGGTTTTTTATTTATTTATTTATTTATTTATTTATTTATGCTTGCTTGCTTGCTTGCTTGCTAATCAAATGATCTTCAAGAAAACTTACAACTGCATCTCAAACATTGTTTGGGGCCCTCCAGGACTTCCATGTAACATGGACCCCCCTTTGCATGGTCCCATCCCTTATATCTCAAACATTTGTATTTTAATTCTGCAGCTACATCATGGCCCACACTGTAGCTTTTTAAATCATTTTTTCTAATTTCTGTTTAGTGTAGCATCCGGCCTGTTTGTTCATGAACATGGAATCACGTTGGGAATCACCAGTATCTCCACATCTCATAAGACAAGTCAGTATTACTGCATAAACACAAAATACACACTTTCTGTTCCATTTAAGGCCCTGGGCTAGCAACTCATTCTTCAGAACGTTGCTTGTTCTGCTTTTGCTTGGCTTTTACGTTAAGGTGGCCATGAGTGTTATTTCACAGAGGACTGTTCAATATTTGAGGGGCTGCCAAAGGACTCTCCTTTATTTCAAGGTGTCCTCTGTTTGAAGTGCTATCTTGCCCAATTCTAATTTAAAAATAAAGAACCACAAAAACTGTTGCCCATCCATTATTAGCACCTAGAAAGAGACTGAACAGGGAAACTGGTCACAATCTTCCACCTTATGGTGAGTGTCCCATTGGTGGCCCCCCTATGTCAATAGGTGCAAAAGCACAGAGCAATAATTTTGCACAAATACCCTCAAGAACGACCAACAATTAGATCCCAACTGTTTCCACATGGGAAGTGGGTTGTGCCCTGGGCCAGGCCTCACTGGATTGCCAGGCCCCAGTAAAGTGTACCATTCCCAATCTGGTACCTGGACCCTGCTTAGAGCAGAGTGCAATTTGTCAGTTGAGTCAATGAAATTCAACAGACCACAGTCCAACAGAGAGTTAAGCACACTTATAGCTCATGTATGTTTCTTCAGAAATCTTTGTTTATCTGATGAGACTTACTCCATATTAGGTTTGCCTAGAACTGCAGCTTTAATCCACTGTTCCAATATGCGCAAACATACAATGCATGTCTATTCAGCAGAAAATTTGCTGAATTCAATGGAGCTTATCTCAAGCAAAAGAATCTAGGATTGCACTGGATCATGGCCAACATACTAATGCAAATCTTAAAAACGCAAGATTTATGAACACATGATCTGCACATATTTCAAGCTATTCATAGGAGTGGGGTGTACTTGTGAACTATCACAAGGTGACTTCAAAAAGTCACCTTGCATTGTTTAAAATGGCTTTTGCTTTTCTGTCTGTGTACCCTTATATAAGATTCATAATATATATTGCAAATCAGCTCTGTAGATTCCTTTAGTAAAATGAATACTACATCTATGGAAATCTTTGAAACGAAGAATTCCACAGAACCGAGTTTGGATTCTTGCAGGCCATGTTATGCTATGAGTGGAGTTATAATTAGGCGTCATGTCCATTGTAATCCTAAGGACGTCATCATGTGTTACCAGCAACTGTTGACAGATCTCATGCCATGCATATCCTGAAATGGCAAGTCTGGAGAGGGCAGCCCACAATAGAAACAATGGCATTTATTTTTGTCGTGTTCCAAGATTGTCTCATAGAACATGTATGCTAGCCAACTGCCAGGGTTCGTTGGAGATCACTGTTCAATATTATATTACTAGTTTGAACAAAGCTCAGCAGCCATGCAGCTACAACCTTCTCGTCATATATATGGACATCTGGAATGTACTTTGTGGGCTTATTTTAGCACTATGGAGAAGGGCCTAACACCCTCGGATCTTTTCAAATCCATCAGTCCTACAGAGAGAATATGTTGCTCTCCAGAACACAAATGCCAGTCTGATTTCCAAGCCAAGGAATGAGAATGCCTTCTATTAGGAGTTATTTATAGACAAGCACATTCAATATTTGTTTTAAATGCTCAGGACAATGTAAAGTAACAAAGCTTGCCATCTATCAACCACAGTTTCTGCACAATCTTCATTGATAACATGAAGTGGTGCATGGCAATCACTCCTGAATAAACTCCACTGAAATGAATGTAGCATTGATTGACATATAATTTTTTCGATTGCATCTTGTAATATTTGCTGCTTTTTGAAGTACTATCTAATTGGGGGGTTTAAAAACCTTCTCTTTCATGAAATGTAAGGATTATGAAAGCAAGTTATATTCTTTTTCTTATTGATTTTGGTAGCAACTTTTATGCCATGGAAAGTCTTTTGGAGTAAATAAGTCGGTTGACTTCTTGATTTGCTTTCAATTAAAACTCAATTCTTCACTGTCATTGAATCAGAATTCAAAATAAGAGCCATTTATATTAACAGGAATCAAGGTGCACAAGCATATAGCCCCAACCGGGGAAAATGTGCAATGCTACAAATAATAAATTGAAATTAATTAGTATCAGTGGGGCATAAAAACAATTAACTTTCCTTGAATTGGGGTTAAGGCAGGATGAGTTCAAATTCTGAAGCAAAGGTTTGAAGCAACTAGTCATTTTTCTTTTGCCTGGAACCAGCTAATCTCATGTGACTCCAAACACTGCCCAGAGGAGCAGATGACCTATAGGAGAAATTTTATGAATGCAAACCAATTCCAGCTGTATTAACAGAACCATCTCTTCATTACTCCGGAACACCAAAACTTCTCATTTCAGTGACAGAAGATCCCCACAAAACAAGATTTTAAAGGATATATCTTTCATATACTGATTTTGAAAGTGTTCATATATACTTGTTTACCTTATATAAAGTGGGATCTTTTTATTATTTGACTGGGAATATGTAACTCAAAAGATGTTTCTTCTTGAAAATCTGTCCCAAAATCATTTTGGTAAATGCTCTACATCTTAGAAGCCACCAAACACAGAGAAAGTATATCTTGTAGTTTAAAGAATGTCTTAAGGAAAAGAGCAAAGGATACATTCTCTGTGTGGACATTCTCCTGTATAAACTCTATAAAAAGAGAATGCTGGACTAGTCTTGTTGATTTAAATACAGGAGAACATACATGAGAACATGCTGGGGATCTTACCCAGCTGTGATGAGAACCAGTATGATGTGGTAACTTGAATTCCTCTAGATATCTTGGACTATAACTCCCATAAGCTCCAGACAGCATGGCCAATGGCCAGAAATTATGGGAGTTGTAGGCCAAATGGCCTGGAAAGCACCATGTTGCCTGTCCCAGGTGAGAGTGTCAGTCTAGGCCTTCAGAGACCTGGATTCAAATCCCAACTCAGCTTCTCAGCCCTGAAACTTGCTGGGTGACCTTGGGCCAATCACACTCCCTCAGAGAACAGAAATGAATCTGAGATTTAACCAGGCATGCAGCTTTGAGCATCTTGTAGGGAAGGAAGGTATAAATGAAAGTTAAAAATAAACCAGAACAACTGGAACACATGTTATATGTGTGATTCCATTTAACATATATAGTTTGTTGAAAAAAATAAGGGGGAATAACCAGAACTGGGATTATGTTATGCAGAAAAGGGAGTTAACCCTCTTCCTTCCATGCCATATTGTAACAAATTATCCCCCCTCCAGCGCTTCCCTCGCAAAACAAAGAATGGAAAAAAGGAAAGGGTTTTAAAATAAACCTTCCCTGCACACCACTAACCAAATCACCCTGTCTCCATAGTTATTTTTAAAAAGCAAGAATACATTAAATGTTCTATCTATTGAATATAATGTGCAATTTGGCCATATTTTACTGGACCATATTATCTGACATATGAATTACGCACCCTATCAAATTTATAACAATTTAAAATCCTGTTGGGTCAAAGTACTACATGGAACTACACTGAAAATCTGAATGTCTGGCAGATAAACCATTATGTGAATGGAATGGCTGTAATACCCTGTTCTTCCTGTGCCAGGAGTAAGATAAATCAAATGTCCAGATTGCTCAAATAAGAACTATCTGTAGCACAAAATCTTACACAATCTTTTTAATTTGTCATGTGTCTCTTGGGACTAATTCACACAACCCTGCAAGTTTGGTCAATATTGTGAGTTGATGGGTTGAATTTGAGTGTGTGGAAAAATCCCAAAGGTTCTGCTCAATCACTGACTGATTCATGGAAAGATCTGGGTGATGCTTAAAATGCCCACTCCAACTTATGGACATTAAACAGATAGGACTTGGGTACCCAGAAAAGCCTAGATATGAAAACACTATGCCACATGTCCAGTCTGTCAATCCACAGTTCATTACGCATCGCCAGAGTCATGTTAATTGGGGTCTTTCAGCTCCATGACTAAGATGATAACACAGTATTCAACATCATTTCAGAAGACAACATCATTGTCTAGTCTCTTAGCTACAGATATGGCCTTCATCTGATTTTGCCAAGAGATTCCACAAATCTGAGAAACCCTGTGAAGGGGTGCTGAATTTTCATATAAACCTATATTCACTGCAACAGCCAACATTTCAAATGATAATGTACTACCAAATTTAGGGCCATCACCCTATGTTTCGTCCCACTCAAAAAAGGCCGATACTGATATAAACAGTACCAATTACAATTGAGTATGCAAGCAGTTAGGATTCTACACTGGCACAAATGCACATTAAATTTGGAATATTTTGTTTTCCTGACCTTCCTTTGCTGTTTCTCCCATGCAGGGTCCAGAAGCAGATCCCTGTCCCATTCTTCCTCTTGGTTCATATATTCATCCTCTTCATACTCGTAGTTGTAATGTATGCTACTGTCTATTTGGCCTGTCATATTGCTTAAGAATCAGATCCTGTTTCACACCTGCAGAGATCTTTTAGTTCTTAATATAAAACTTTTCAAAAATGATTTTAATCTTGCAAGAGATAGGAAATCCTGTGCTGTTTTCCCCTTTTCTTTTGGGTAGGAAGGTATAAATATATTGTCTTGCTGATGTGCCAGAAAAAAAGTTGTCAGGTTGCAGGGAAGAGCCTGCTTTCACTTCCTTCTCTTTCAGCCCCTGGACTGCTGCTGTGATTCTCTGAAAGGAATCCTGGCTCAGGCTGAAGGCGGCAGCTGCTGCTCTCGCCGCGTCTGCCTCTTATCCCCTTGCCACATCACGTGGCTCTGCCCTGCCTGGGAAGCATCCGTCCCCCTCCCCTGGTTTTCAAGTTCCTCCTCTGTGGCTTGCAAATCAGATCTTGACAGACAGGATGATTTGTCCTCTTCTCAGAAGTGGATAAAACAGTTTGGGTATTTGCTACCCAATTATAGGAAAATAGATAGGATGCTGCATGGGGATCTTTTGGAGCTTCAAGAAGTTACCTAGAGGAGAGAGCCTGCTTACTTGAGCAGTTTTGTCTGAAGCATTGTATCCTCTGGGATTCCTCACTTCAATTCTAATTCCTCCTCCTCCTCTTCATCTATTAAGGCTGATTGAAATGGCCATCTTATTTTTTCTCAAGGACTTCCTGTGCATTGCTTGGCCCAGTTAATGGGCTGGGAGCACCCAGCAGAGTAGCACCAAGGAAGCAAGGCGAACAGTCAGTGCAGTGATTTCCTTTGGATGGAAAATGGTTATGAGCTCTTTGAAGTTCCTCGAGGGAATGAGAGTGATGAGTTTCAAATGAATGAAAGAATGTGAATATGATGTTACAGATGTCTTCATTGGTCCAGAGGTTAATTTGGAATGACCTTCCCCA